AGAGAAATAATGCATTAAGGATATCTGGTGCCATTCATTTATTCAATTGTTTACTGAGAAGCAATTCAGGAGAGGTATTGAATTCTGCAGCGTCAGATATGCATCATTCTATCTTGTTGATTTAGCTTTCATGGTCTCAATCTCATGATCTAAAATGGCAGTGTCTGTGTTTCAGGCAGCAGAATAAAGAAAACAAAAGCAAGGACCAGCATGTGACATTCCTTCCTATTTCTGCCTGTAATGAAGTGGGGAAATATTGTCTTTATGCTTGCCAGCTAGGTATAAAAATATCAGGGTGTCTATTACCACAGATGGAAGAATGGATATTGGGGGACAACTAGTACCCTGTATCATAAGCATTTATTCCAGGGTATCTCAACCTTGGCAATATTGACATTTAGGGTCAGATAATTTTGGGGGAACATTCTGTGCATTGTAGAGTAAGTTTAGCACCACCCCTGGCCTTTACCCACCAAAAGCATCCCCTTAGTAGTGACAACCAAAAAAACATCTCTAGACATTGCTAAATGTCTCTAAGGAACATGTTCCCCACTCCCTGTTGAGAAACCTCTACTGTGTACAGAAATTGCATAATCACTGGGCAGAAAACAAAACCAAATGATAAATGAGATAATTTTGGACAGTGACAAGTGTTTCAGAAAGATAGGGTGCAGGATGTACTATGTATGCAAAAGCCCTAAGAGGGGAAAGGACTTGGCTTGTTCTAGGAAAAATCTGAGTACAGGTGTGGTTGGCAGGCAAAGTGGACTGAGATGAGGCTGTAGGGTAGGTGGGAGCCTGTGAGGTTTGGGGAGTTTGATATTGAGCGCAATGGGGAATAGTTGGAAGGCTTTAAGCAGTGGATGACATGACTTATGACAGCAGGTACGTAGGAGAGGAATGAGAGAGTAAGCAGGAGACCAGTAGGAAGTTGTCCTGGTAGTCCAGTGAGAAATGATGATGGCTTGAGAACCAAGATGGAGGTGTAGGAAAACGCCAGTACTTGCCTCCTCCTTACAACCACATCAAAATGACAACTAAAGTTCAGAACCACCAGAAAGATGGCAGAATGGAAGTTCTACAACTAGAGAAAGAAGAAAGTACATTGAGATGGTAGGAGGGGTGGTGTGGGAAGCTGCCTATTGTCTTCACTAGCAGAGAGGTGTGGACAAGGAACCTGGAAGGCTGGTGATCCTTGAAGCCCTGGCACAGGTCAGAGCTGTGCACCCACTGTTAGTCCAGACAGTGGTAGCTGAAGCAACTTCCCCATTTATTACTATGTAAATCCTTGCTGTTGGGATAGTCTGCCTGTTACTGGAAATTCCCTTCCTAAGGGTATGGGTGTATCCCAAACCAAGAAAAGGCTGGCGAGGCCTGAGCACTGGTGGAAGTCCTTCCCTTTGAGTTGGACTTGGCTGCTTGGCCCCCCACTATTTCCAAATTATCTCGTCTCTTCTCTTTCATTTGTGTGCGGCTCCTCTTCCAGATCCTGAACCCTGAACCACGCGGGACGTGGGGGAACAAACATTACACAGGGTGGAGGTGCAGAAAGAGCTGGTCTGACACCCATGTGTGGTGTGTTTTTAATTGGGAGGGATATCTCCACTGCGGAGGCCTCCCATGAGGAGCAAGGGGGTCCCAGCTCCACACCAAACCTCCAGCCCAGGGTTCCAGAGCTGGGAAGAGAAGTCCCCGTAATTTCGGGCTGTAAAAGCCAGGAGGGACTGTGGCTGAGTGACACTGAGGTTGCTGGAGACCCAGGTGTTACTTTTAAAGAGCCGGCCCATGGGCCTACTTGCACTTGTTCCTCTGGGCTCCAGCGCTGAGGCAATGGCTCTTGGGGGATTCAGGGAAATACGAGGAGGAATTGGATTGTCTAGCATCAGAACAAGTACTGGGGGTGGCTTTCTCCCACACCGGGGTGCTCACAGGAGTCATTGTTCCTATGCTGAGACCTCCCCAGTCGCAGAGCTGACTGGCAGCCATATTTGAATTTCCATCACCGGACTCACACTGTTGGCTCCACCCTGGAGTTTCCCTGGGTCCATGCCCTACCCAATTTGAAGCCCCACCCAAACTGTCTACAGTAGCTCTTCCATATGAATGGGCTGTCCTGGCTCAGGCTTCAGACATTCCTAAAAATCTCTCAAACAAGAAGCAGCTGGCATCAGTGTGTCCCATAACTATCAATAAGAGGCCCAAGACCCAGCACTAGCACCAGCCTGCCTTGCTTCACAGCTTGGCCTCACCAGGGCACTTCCAAGCCCAATACAATAGCAGCCATCTGCAGGTAACTCTGTAGCTCCTGCCAGGTAGCCCCAGGCAGTGGCTGACTTTGCACCACCTGGGTGGCCCCAGAGCCAGTGCATCCAGTGTATAGCTTCAGACCATACCAGATTACAACTGACACACTCAAGGGGCAGATTCAGTGAGCACCAAAGTGATGAATAGCAAGAACCTACAACCAAGATTACTTTACCCAGCAAAGGTATCATTTAGAATTGAAGGTCAGATAAAGAGCTTCACAGAATGCTGAAGGGTGAGTTCATTACCACCAAATCAGTATTATATGAAATGCTGAAGGGTATTTTTTAAGAAGAGCAAGAGGAAAAAGAAGAGGAGGAGGAAGAGGAGGAGAGGTGGAGGAAGAGGAGGGAAAAGGAGGAGGAGGCGGGAGAAGAAAAAAATATGAATACAATGTAATAAATATATACCTATCAATAATTGAATCTAAAAATCAAAATAAACAAACAAGTAATCTAATTAACAAAATAAACTGATGAATAAAATAGAACCAGAGGCATGGAAACATGGAACAGATGGATGAATCTCAGAGGAAAAGGGGGTGAGAGGGGCAGGAAAAAATTAACCAAAAATCTTATATAGCACATATGCATTAGCTATGGACACAGACAATGGGGTGGTGAAGGCAGGAATGGGGTGGAGGGAGGCAAAGGGGGGAAAAAGGGAGACATCAGTAATACTCTCCAAATAAAGATTTAAAAAAATGATTTGATAGTAGCAGTGGGAATGGAAATAACACTGAAAGAGAAAAAGAACTAAAAATAGGAGTGGAGAAAAAGAACTAAGATAGGATATCTGTTTCCACATATTGTGAAATTCAGTCCACACCATTACCTGTATGTTCCTGCATTACTTTCCTAGTGCTGCTAACAAATGATCACAAACTTGGTGATTTAAAACAACAAATGTATTGTCTCATGTCTCTTAAGTCCAGAAGTCCAAAGTCAAGTTTCACTGGTGTCCACAGGGTCAAAGAATCTGTTCTTGTCTCTTCAGCTCTGGCAGCTCTGGCACTCCAATTTCTGCCTTCAGGCCACAGTGCTGTCTCCTCTTCTATGTGGTAATTACCTTCCTTTGCATTTAGGGCCCACCCAGATTATTCAGAATAATCTCTCCATCTCAAGATCCTTAACTTAGTCATGTTGTTTACCATATAAAGTTAATATTCACTCTTTTGCCATAGAAGAGAATATTCCCAGGATTAGGACATGGATATCTTTTGAGGGGTTGTTATTCAATTCTACAATGTTGAAATCACTTTTGGCTATAGAAGGAAAGAGTAATGTTTGTTTAGAGATCAAGGTGGAAAGCAACACTATGAAGTTAATAATGCCATTTAGTAAATTGATTAGAGAAAGAAATGTTAAAGAAAGAAAATGGAACCTTTGTGAAGCGGGTTTTCAGGAATACCGGGGAAAGTAGGCTGAAAGACAGAAACACTCAGAAGGGCCTCATGGGCTTTAGACATTTCATTCTTGATGTTACAGTCCATGTTAAAAGGACTACTATCCTTACACCTTGCGTAGTGGGCACTCAAAAACAAGGTGTAACAGGTGTCAGTAGTGCTGGGCATGGGCTGTTCAGCTGTGGTGGGACATGGATGGGAGGGGTAGTGAGAAGGCAGTGAACAATGGAATGGGAGTGCAGGGCCAGGCTAAGCTACAGAAGTAGAGTAAAACAGGAGAGATACATCCAAGTGGCTCTGGTTGGGAGGCCCAAGGAGGAAGC